GCAACGACGATATGACGTGATGATTCTCGGCCAACATGGCCCCAACGCCCCAACGCCACAAGCGAAAATGTGCTATCTCGTGTCTTCACTATCAAATGCAATAGGTACAAACCTAGTAAGGTATGGTATGATAGCTTGGCGAGCCTAAGTCGAGTAAGAGTTCAGACTTTCAGGTTGTATCAAGCCAGTCCTTCCTAAGCATGCACATTACCTTAGGTATTCAATAGCGACAGAGTTTGTGTGTCGGTTACCAAGTGTATACACACTATTCTAGTAGACACGATGCGGCGGGAGATGGGGAAAAGAAGATGGTCTTGGCATTCGGACGGGGGTAATGATGGCGTGATGAGACGTGCTCGCCCCTGTTCCTGACGCGAGTTTCAAAGACGCATAGCGATTCGCGAAATCGGTTCGGTGGAGGGTTTCAATTGGTTAATTTTATCTCGCAGCAGCTCGTGACAGGTTCATCTTCATCACGACATGTCGTGCCCAGTACCTGCTGGAGCCACCCTCAAACGGCTTTATTCCCACTACTTAGTGGCCAAGTCTAGTTGATACTATCGCCGTCGTATACTTAGTGCACACCCATCCTTTGTTAAACCTGTGATTCGCTCGAATCAGTATCAATAACCAAGATGGGAACAGTATCACCACCACCACGCCCCTCTTCCCCCTTTACCGTAGTACTGCTACTACACACTACTCAGTAGCTAAGAATCTGAGGCAGCCGCGCTCGACCAACGCCTCTTTTGTTTCCCCGCACCCTACAGTCTGGGCATGGCCACGAGGAACAGTCTTACATGCAAGCTGGTCCCATCTTGGTATCTTATGCAAGCCTCGACATTCGGACTGCCGTTGAGCCCGAGAAGCTATTCATTGATGCGCCATGTTGCCACGGCATCGCGGAATAGACCACTGGAATCCCGTCATTTCTGGCCACGTTCGTGATCCGACGCTATGCAACTAGTACCAGACTAGACCCAGGCAGAATTTTGTCCAGATGGAGATAAGGCGGGGGCAAGACATCACATTGCATTGCATCATGTTGTGGTATCAAGATAGAGTGAGTAGTGCTGGTCTTATATAAAGCAAGACCCGACAGGCAAACAGTCTGTCAGATAAGGAGACCTTCGTATCAGATCATATCCTTCCCTTCGCATCAGACAAACATCTACTCAAGACACATACACACAAAATATCGAATCATGGCTCCTTCGGCAATCGAGGCTGAGCCCATTGCAGGCAGCAAGGGTGGTCGTCGTGAGCCCCTCAAGCTGTCTGGAGCTCTCGATTCGTATGAGTCGTTTGAGGTGACACCCGTCATTGGCCGCGAGTTCCCCTCGGCCAAGCTAGTTGAGTGGCTCGACGCGCCGAATTCGGATGAGCTGCTTAGAGATTTGGCTATTACCAGTAAGCACTCGTCCAAATGCTGACATAACAACAATCGCATCATGCATGCTTGACCGGACATGTAGTTGACAAGGAGAAAAAGTCTCGCAGCGGGGTGTGGTCTTTTTCCGCGCCCAGGACGGCCTGACCAACCATCTTCAAAAGAAGCTGATTCTCAGGCTCGGAGAGCTTACTGGAAGACCTGCCACGTCAAGCCTCCATATCCACCCCGTTCTTAACTCGGAGCGCGAGCTGGGTGGAAACGACCCAGAGATCAGCACCATCAGCTCTGAGCAGAACAAGAAATTGTACTACGAGACAGTGCCCGAGGGACTCAGCACCAAGAAACAGAACACGGCTCAATGGCACAGCGACATTGCCTTTGAGCCTGTCCCAGCCGACTACACCTCTCTGCGCCTGGTAGACCTCCCGAGCACTGGAGGAGGTATGTAGCGCTGCTTGTCACCATGCCGAGCAAAAGGGGAGGGAAGCACTTACTGACACGAGTATGACTTAGATACCCTCTGGGCATCGGGATATGAAATCTACGACCTTCTGAGCGAGCCATACCAAAAGTTCCTCGAGTCGCTCACAGCCACGTTTGAGCAGCCTGGCTTCAACCGGGTGGCAGAGCGGTCGGGATTCAAACTCTACGACAAGCCGCGAGGAGCGCCCGAGAACGTCGGCACCGAGCTGAAGGCAATCCACCCTGTCGTGCGCACAAACCCCGTCACAGGGTGGAAGAGCATCTTCCCCGTTGGCGGCCACGTCCGTCACATCAACGGCCTTACAGAGGAGGAGAGCTCCAAGCTGCTCACATGGTTCCTGGACCTTGTCTACAAAAATCACGGTCTGCAAGTTCGTCTCAAGTGGCAGAGCCCCAACGATATTGGTATAGTCCTACTCTCTCCTTGCAGGTATATATAGGTATGCTTTGCTGACAACCTGGACTGTAGCAATTTGGGACAATAGATCGGTCTTCCACTCAGCCACCTTTGACTATGATGGATATGGGGATCGGTTCGGCAACCGCGCCGTCGGACTCGGTGAGAGGCCCTATTTAGACCCCAACAGCACGTCGCGCAGAGAAGCTTTGAGTAAGTCTTAGACTGGTATATATGATAAGAAGATAGCACTATTTATCCGTTTATACGCGAGTGAACATAGTACATAGCAGGTTCCAGTCTCTGAAAGAATATTTCCCAGTCCGAATTCTCAACTGATTGCGTGGATTGCGGCTTATGCTATCTACCTATCTGATGTACCGACTCTAGATAGGTTCTCACGTGGTCAGTCTATTATGATTCAGTTCGACCTGTATTTAAACAAAGCTGCCGGCGTTTGAGATATAGATACGCAGTAACGTCTGGTATACCCATTCCGGCCACCCCCCATTCCGGCCACAGAAAACTATCCCCGCCCAGCAACAACAATACAGTCCTCCACGACCGTTAAAGCTTTTGAATCACTTTCTAATACCTTATCCTCCTTAGTAAAGTCATCGCTAATATCGCCACTCTTTATTTAAGCCCTTCGAATAACTTGAATGCTAGCAAACTTAGTATTTAGGCTCAATTTGACCTTCTTCCTCTTCTTTGGCTTTAGCGTCTCAATCCTAGCCTCTAAGGATTTAATCTTTTCTTCCTAAGCTGCCAAACGATAATTTTTCTTATCGAATCCTTTAGTAATCTTCCGAATAAGCTACCGGGTATTTCTTTTATAAATATTACGATAGTTCTTTATAGCGTTAAGTATTCACTTAAAGTCTTTACTTTACTTCGGGGTATTTATAGCGATAATTAACCTTTTAGCTTTAAAAATAAAAAATATTTTTATTTTTAATATTATAAAGTTATTTAAAAGCTAAAAGGAGGTTTTTTAGCTTACATTATTATTTTTTAATAAAAAAGGGTTGCTTAAAGGTTTAAATATCCGTACCAGCTATAACTTTATTACTTTTTAACCTGTTATGATATTTAATATTATAAATGCTTTAATCTTAGTTTTATAATAATATTTAAAGAATTTTTATTTATTAAAAAAGTTTAAATTAATTAAATAATTAAAATATCTTAAATATTAATAATATACCCGCTTAAAAATAAAAAAAATAATAAATTTAATAATTAAAGGATATAAGACATATAGGAAGGTAAATAAAAAAAATAAACATTATTCTTATAGTATTCCTATATAAAATCGTCCGTTTAATAACTTTTAACCGTTAAATATTAATAACTTTTTTTTAAGCTTTTTAAATATAATAGAGGAAAGGAAGAACCTTTTAGACTATTCAAATACGACCTTATTTAATATCCACCTATTTTCTATTAGCGTAAACTCTTAGCCTTTAAATAACTTTAAATCCTTAAAGTATTATTACGTTTAAATAGTTTTCCTTTTAAATATTATTAAAAGGAGAAAGTGGTAGCTAATAATTAAAATATATTTGATAAATAAAGTTTATGCTTTAAAATTGTAAGAGAAGGCAGGTACGCCTGATCAAGGTGGTCACAATGAAGGCAACTGGGCAGGCGAGCAATGAAGATAACTGGGAAGGCGAGCAATGACTGGTATTGGCGTAAGACTTCAACCTGGCCCTCGCAACGGAAGGTGGGCGAGGGCCGCTGCTTATATACACAGTTGGTGGGATAACTGGCATGTGCTTGGGGATGTCCGATGTCCGATGTCCTTACAAAAATTAAATGTTTCTTTAAAAAGCTAAATATTAAGCCATTACTCCTTATACCCTCTATAATCCTAACCTCGTCTATATTATACCTATTAATAAGTTTAATAATTTAAATAATAAGGTCGGCCAGATGCTAGAACTAAATAGTAATTACCTTAGACGTAGCATCGTTAATACGTTAAGAATCGATTAAACGATTGCGTTTAATTTTAATCTTTAGGTGCTTCTTAATAAAGTTATTAACTTATAACTTTCTTAACTTTTTTTTTATTTTTATAATGCTAAATATACGGTTATCGAATTTACAGATTTAAGCGTACGTAATAAGAAAGTTAAAAGCTTCTTAAGTTATAACTTAAATAGCTAAGTATTTTTTTTAAGTTAAAAAAAGACGTTGCTAGCTTTAAATAGCTATCTAATATAATTTAAAGCTATTAATACGGTCCTAGAAGGTGGTCCTAGGGATACCCTAATCAAAAGCAGCCCGGCAAATAAGCAATAGCATAGAAGGCCTACTTAAGGTTGTAATTAATATATCAAGCCATTGTTATATAAATAAACAATCCTAAAAATTTGGTAATAATCGGAATAAAATTAATAAAAGAGTTATACGTTAAAATAGCAATATAAATATGCAAGGTAGCTGGATTTATATAGCCGGAATAAGTGGTAGCCGGAATAAATATACCAAACGTTACCTATTAACAAAAAGCTAAAAGACACCTAAGCCTTTACCCAAGTCATGCCAAATATACTTCTTTGCAATATAAACGCACTAGGTATTTATTAAGGTAGTGCGCCGTAAAGGTTCCGAGCACTTAGGTAGTCCAAGGCGACAGATGTTTTAGTCTTGGGAGAGTTTCTTGCCGGGTAGCTGTCAACACTACATGTATTTAAAAGGCTACTCCGAAAATTATTAGGTCGGGTGGCGCAATGGTAGCGCGTTACTTTCCGGTTACAGCAACTCTCTCAGTTGGTAAAGGCTCTGGGTTCGAGTCCCAGCTCGATCGGCTTGTTTTTTTCTTCATTTTTCTTCTTTATCTACACAATAGAACATTAATGTGATTACTTCTTCGTCTCCATGCTCTCCTGCCCAGCGACGGCCTCCCTCAGTATGTTTGCTATGCCGTCATGTCCTCTGTAGGCGGCAACATGATAGGGCGTCCAATGCTTGTTTCCTGACGTCTGCCTAACATCAGCACCAGCAGCGAGCAGAGTCTCTACAATGGTTTGATGTCCGGCCTCTGCAGCTGCGCACAGGGCGGTATATCCATTGTAGTAGCTTCCCTCGGCGTTGACATCAGCGCCGATTGCCAAGAGCCTCTCTACCAGCTGGGCATCCCCTTGCAGTGCAGCAGCTTGGAGGGCTGTCAAGCCCTTGTACCTCATCAGTGGCGCGTTCACTTCGGCTCCCTTTGCCAGTAGCAGCTCTACTAGGCCGCTGTGGTGTCCAGATACGGCGGCCTGCAGAGCGGTCCGGCCACTGTTGAAGGCAGGGGGCGCATTGATATCGGCGCCCTGGTCCAGAAGCCTTTGCACGACAGCTAGGTGACCCCCTTCGGCAGCCGCCTGAAGTGCCGTTCGTCCCACATAGCGGCTGGCTGGGCGGTTCACGTCTGCGCCGTTGCGTAGCAGCAAATCGACGATATCCAGATGGCCGCCCTCGGCAGCCAGCGCAAGCGCAGTTCGTCCGCCGTTGTTGCCGCCAGGCGCGTCCACGACCGCTCCCCGACAAAGAAGCGCCTTGACAATCAAGATGTGCCCCTTGAGCGAAGCAACCTGCAGAGCAGATTTCCCGTAGTATCCGACTGGTGGCTCATTGACATTGACATTGGCGCCGCCGTGGGACAGAAGTTCAGTAACGCGGTCAAGATTTCCTTCGGCCGACGCCAACTGAAGATCTGACCATGTGTTTTCGCTGTCGTCTTCCTCGGACATGGTGTCTCCTTCTTCTGGGGCCGTCGTGGCGTGTGATGTCGGGTTGTGATGTCCAGCTCTCTACCGATGACCACAGGGCGCGACTTTTAGGCCCACCTTGCCCCCCCCCCCATGCGGCAGTCGAAATACGTGCCCCAGTCATACGCCTCAACTACGACCTGCACCAGCACAGCATAGGTAATTTATATGGATCCGGGTTGTTTACCTACGCATAGTGCGAATACTATCTTCAGTTCCTATGTACATACATTACTTATTCTTGTTGGGCGGCAATCCTGGCCTCATACTCGGGAAAGGTCTCGATGCCCTTGGGAACGCCGTTCCAGGGCACAAAGGCGTGGGTGGGGTCATCCAGTACCTTGCACAGGTACAGGTATGAACACGTACATTACAAATGCTGATTCATTCTACGCTACTAGTCTAGACCTAGACGGTCTTTGTGCCAATCCATACAGGATCCGAGGTACATGTGAAGACGTCGCTGTTGAAGTTGCGATCGCACGCCGCCTGCATAAACTCAATCCCAACGGCATCAAAGATAGAGTCCGGGCTGCAGTTCCAGTGCTGCTCAACCGTCAGAAGTGCCAGCTGGGGGTCAAAGCTAAACTTTGCCGTCGTTGTTGTTGACTCGGACATGGACTCGCAGACACCTTCAAACACATGGTCCTTCTCCTTGGCTGGAGCTGTCGAGCAGTTGAAAACACCATTGCTGGCCAAGTTTGTCAACTTGAAAGACGGGCCAGTGTCGGATGATGGCGTCTTGTCGGGAACACCGGGCGTGAGGGAAGACGGAGGCATGACAAACTGACGGTGCCAGTTCTCAAGCCGCCACGACTGGTATCTCTTTGCGTTTTCTGCGCATGCTTCTGCGTTCGAATTCAGTGGCGATATTTGCCCCAGCAGCTTTGTGCTCACGAGCACGCTTGGACGAGTGCCGGCGGCCGTGTTGCTTTTGGGGACACAATAGCTCAGGCTGTCGGTGGTGGTCGAGCAGTTAAGGTCGAGGTTTATGGTGCCGGTTGCTAAACCATCGGATCTGCAGGTAGGCGCCGCGTGAGGTCTCGTTAGCTTCTAATTGGTGAGAGGGAGAGAGAAAGGCGACAGCATACCCTCGTTTGTCGGAACAGGCAAACGTGTGCGACATGTACATGATCTTGGTCCTCCAGTCCAGCGCAAACGAGACCGTCTTGTCTGGGCCACTTCCGGCACCCGTCCAGATGCAATCACTCCATATGATGCTACTATTGCCGCCCTCGTACCATCCGGCCCATGCCTCTGGCCACTGGGAGTTGCACTCGTAGAGAGGAGTAGCACCGTTGCCCAGGCTGGCTGCAAACGTGGCAAACTGGTTTCCCTTGCTCGGGTCTGCACCGTCCCATCTCAAGTCGATCAAGCGTGTCTGGTAAGTCCCAGGAGTTGAGCCACATACTCGGGAGCCGTTGACAGCTCCCGAGTGGAGTGATGAGAATGCCACAACTGCGAGAGCCACACGTACTGGGCTATGTCTCATCATATCGATTACGAAGTTGTGAGGACGTGGATATGGGTCCTGTTGGGCAGAAAGGGGGCTTTGCCACACACACTCTTGTGTCTAGAGTTAATGGACTGTGGGTTGGGTGCAGTTTGCCGCATTTACATACATGTATGTAGGTGAGGCACAATGAGGGGATCTGCCAACAATTGAGCCTGGCACGGCTGGAAATCACGTCGATATTGCCTGGCAGACGCAGTGCAGATATGGAATGAGCTTCCAACCTAATTTACCGGGATGTCAGGACGAGAATCTTATCATCCCATTGTCCGATTATTTATGTGTAAAGGCGGCACATGCAATGCGGTGGATCAAGAGGTTTAGCCAAAGTTCCATCGTCGGCAGTGAGGTCAGGGGCTTAGCAAGATGAGCGGCCTTCTAGCTGTCCCAGTGAGTTTACCCCCATTTGCCGGTCATTCCAATATCAAGATAGATTCTCGGGCATTGCTATATTAAAATGTCATAGTGGAGGAGCGCGCTCGACCGGGAAATCATTCATGATATAGAGGGCCATGTCTCGCAGTGTCTAAGTATCGACAGCCCCAGTCTCTCGTCACATTGTCTCGTCTCATCACCAACCTCAGCAGTAAGGCAAGAAAGATGCAGTGGAAGAAGGGTTTTGTAGCCCTGGGGCTTCTTGCCCACGAGATCTCAGGCCAGCAGATGATTCGCTTTGGCTGTTCACAGCTGGTCGTTGCCCGAATGGACCCCTTGGTCAACCCGGGCCAGATTCAGTCGCCCCATGTGCACCAGATCGTGGGAGGCAACTCGTTCAACGTCAGCATGGACCCGGCAAACCACGACCTCGTCAGGGACTCGACATGCACCAGCTGCACCTTTGCCGAGGACTTCTCAAACTACTGGACGGCCGTCATGTATTTCCGGGCTCGGAATGGAACCTACAAGCGGGTGCGTCAGTTCCCCAACACAGGTCTGCGTGCCGACGGTGGCATCACCGTCTACTACATCCCCCCGTACGATGGCAGGACAAAGGTGACGGCCTTCAAGCCTGGCTTCCGCATGCTCGTTGGAGACGCCGGTCTGCGGTCGGCCAAGGGCATGCAAAGGCAGCTGTGCCACCGCTGCTCCGACAATGGCGCACCCTGCACCGGCACCGACACCGTCACCCTGCCCAAGGCCTTCTGCGCCAACGGTATCCGCACCACCATCACCTTTCCCACCTGCTGGGATGGCAAGAACACCGACAGCCCTGACCACAAGAGCCATGTTGCCTACCCCAAATCCGGCACCTTCGAGTCCACTGGCCCCTGTCCCGACACCCACCCCGTGAGGCTGCCCCAGGTCATGTACGAAGTCATGTGGGATACCCGACCCTTCAACAACAAGGATTTGTGGCCAGAGGATGGCTCCCAGCCATTCGTATGGAGCACTGGTGATCAGTAACTCGCCCCTTGATTTTCTTGTCTTTATTTTCCTGTCTCTTTTCCCACTCCTTTCTCTCCCCAACTGACCAAATGCCAAAAAAGGGACGGATATTCACAGCATGGCGATTACCTCTTTGGCTGGAAGGGCGATTCACTCCAGCGTGCCCTCGACGCCGGCTGTGGGAATGCCGTTTGCTCCCAGCTCAAGACCCAAACCTCCGAAGAGGCTAAAAAGTGCACCTTGCCCCAGAATGTCCAAGAAGACGTCGATGGCTGTAAGTCTGCTCAGTCACCGCACAATCTAATGGCACAGCGATATGCTAATTACATCAGGGCTGGAGAAAGTTCCCGGTATGGATATGTAAAGAGACTCAGTATTGTCGTCGTGGCATAGGCTAATAATACTCTGCCGTGGCTACCGAGCTGGGTAAATGCTCAATGACCGTTGCTCATAAACGGATAAGAAGCGAACACTGGCGATAGGTAGATGGTGTTAAATGTCAAACACAAAGTTTACTCAACCACGGGGCTAATTGGGGTCAAGATCGATGATCCTATTAGTATAAGTTGCTTGCTTTTAATAAACTTTTATTTTTATTTTTTTAAAGTTTAATATTTTATTCAATAGTTTTTATATTATTATTAATATAATAAAAATATTACTTTTTATTAAAATAAAGCTATAAAGTTAAATAAATATAATTAATAAAATATTAAAGTTAAAGAAAATATAAAAAAAGTTAAATAAAAGCGTAGCGAATAAAATTTAATTTTATAATTAAAATATAACTTATATATTTAATAATTAATTTAAATTAAATTAAAAACTTAAAACGTAAAAAAGATATTAATAGTAAACGAACGCTATCGGATTTATAATTAATTAAAGGTATGTAGCCGTTGGGCTGTGATTGGTCGACAGGGTGAGAAGTGTATAAAATAGTGGGGAACTAGTTACGTATCCTTAGAACCCCTTTAAAACCACTTACTTCCTGTCCCTGTAGTTCGTGATCCTTTTATATAAATAAGTAAAATAATATGATAATAATAACCTTTAACCCGTTTTTTACGGTTATTATAATAACTTGTACGAATAACTTTATTATTCTAATATTAATTAATGGTTAATCGATTAAGCTAACCGTAAAATAATAAG